CCAGGCAACTGGCCAGTTTGTCCAGTCTTCCCTGTGACTTCAATCTAACCACCCCCATTCCTCTGTCTCTGCACCTCCCCCATGGATCTGAATCGTGTGGACATCCCCTTCAGTTCGTACCTGGTCTAACCCAGTCACAGGGCAGTCGCATGAACACCAGCAACAAACCCCTGCCCTCGTGCAGCTTTCATTTCAGTGAGGAGAGCAAGCCATGGGGAGCAGATGCCACACCCCAACAGTTGGATTTCAGACACGGATGAGCACTATGGGAATGCTAAGAAGTTGAAGATGGGCAGCAAGAAGGGTTCCCGCCTTGGGACAATCTCTTAGCTAAAACCTAAGAACAACAAACACCACTACAGCAAAGGACTGTAACCTAAACATTGAAGAGCCAGGCCCGTTGGAGGGGAAGAGAGCATTAGCGGCTCAATGTACAGTCAGAAGCCAGAAGGGTAGACAGCAGCAAGGTGCGCATAAAGCCGATTTCTAAAGGCAGTTCTCGGGGCCACTGTCCTCAGTACAACAGAAGGCCCACGGATCCTTTGCCAAGACATCAGCTACTTGTAGCCCACCTGTATTGAGTGTCGTATGGGAATTCTGTTCAAATGCAAACCCCATCTCACAGGCAAGAACTCTGCGTCAAAGAATTGGGAAGCAATGGAGCCGTAACTCAGAGGCAAGCTAAGTGATGACAGTAGTCGAGGTGAGCAAGGGCCAGAATGCTGAGGCCCTGAAGGGTCTGCACCCTATTTGAAGTGCAAGAGAAAGTTGGCGGAGAGGGGTTTCCTGACCAACTCTTAGATATGACTGAAAAAGAATGTAACATCCGAAGGAAGTCCCACCAAACAATGCCTCAGTGGGCTGATAAGACAAACTTGAGCTTAGGCCATAGACGATCCTGAAGTGAATCAGGTTGAATTCCCTAGGAAGCAGGCCCCGTAAAGTGGGATGACTTCTCTCTGGCCCAAGCTCTGGACCGACCGGCTGTATCACACTACATTCCATCTGGTTAGACATGCAAATCCCGGGGCCACTCCCAGACCTGCTGAATCTCAGACCGAACAACCCAACATCTCCCTCAACTTCACTTTTCTTTCTTTTCTCCTTTGTAGCACTGGGTATCCAAACCCAGAACCCTGTGAACACTAGGCAATCAACCACCCTGGACACTAGGCTACGCCCCTAGATCTGGATTCAATCTTAACCTTTCAGGTGAGTCAACTCTGCTCAGAAGCTGGAAGGAGCCTACTTTGCAGAGCTCACTGCTCCTCCCCTAGACAGCCCTGCTGTGCGTACCAGTCAATCCTTCCCCTGGGCCCCACTGCTGCCTCCTATGCCTAGAAACCTCACTACCAATCCATTTTTCTTACAAATTTGATTTCCTGAACATATTTACTGTTCAACTGACCAGGCCACATGGCCAAGGTAAAAACAACTCCTCCCTCCTTCTAGGATTCCATTTCATTTCCACGGCTCTCGGCCTTCACAGCAGACTGCAAAGAGACTCTGGACATTTACCTCGGCTTTCCCGACACCTCTAACAATGTGTTGGCTTTTTTATTCACCCGTCTCTCTTTCATTAATACACTATGAGAAATATTTGTGCCCTTGGAATTCCAGGAACTTCACTCTATGCCAGACACATCAATGACAGCAAATGTCAATGTCTTCCTATCCTCAAGAAACCATCCCATTGGCAGGGAATGGCCAGACACAAACAAATAATTATAAACAATACACATGTCAGAAAGGCCTAAGAAGGGTCTCTACATGCACTACCCATGTAAGTACCCAACCACCTTGCAGGGAAGCCGTAGCCTCACCCACACCCTACAAGGAAACTGGCATGCAGGGAGAGGAAAGGGTATGTGAACAAAACCACCAAGATTCAGGCAAACAGAATGGCTCCAGAGCCCACCTTTGGGATCACAGCTTGTGAGAACTGGACGGAATGCTGAGGATGGAGGAGGAATGGCAGGCAGGTGTCCAGGCAGACCAACATATGCAAGAGTTCCCGGGAGGAGAGATGTCAACCTAAAGCCAGAAGAAAGCCTGAGGAAGTTGGTGAAACTGAGAAGCATCAGACGACTCGTAGATAAAACTATTCCGGAGGTGGATCAGACAAGGCAGGCTGGTGGCTGCAGAATACTGATATGTAGAAGAGCTGTAACGGGGAAGGAAAAAGAAAGACTCCCCCATGACCCGGATTCCCACATTGTAAAGTTGGGAGGACACTCTTTGTGCAACCAAGTGCTATACCACCACATTTAATAAAGTCTAAAGGTAGGAGGTCAGGAGACTGCAAGTTCTTGAAAGGATTCAGTCAATTGATGAAGCCGGTTAGCAGATCTTCCCACTGAAGGAGCCCACCTGGTATCCTGAAATCCTATTTGCAGAACACTATTCCCACTTCTTAACAATAAAAATGACGTATACAGTCACGAGGCAGCTTCTGTTAGAATTAGGGCTTTTCTTACACAAATATGAGGGGAATGTTTTCACAACGTTTTAACTATCTTTTTTTTTTTTTTCTGAAGCACACAATTAAACTAGTTGACAAGGGAGAAATGATGCAACTCTGCCAACTACAAAGATGCTCAGCTATCATTCCAACCCATGACTGTCAGACTGGAAGCCTACACTTCCTCCGTTAAACCAGTGCTTCCCAGCTGGATGTGATGGTGCAGGCCTATGACCTCAGCACTCTGGAGACCAAAGCAAGAAGATTCTGAGTTCAAGATCAGCTTGGGTGGGACCAGTGAGACCGTTCCTAAACAAATCACCACTGCTCTCTGGTGCACAGCAGTATGGATTTGGATGCACAACTCAACTTTTCAAAGTCTCAAAAGCAATGGTCTCTTTTGAATCTGTGTAACTATATATCGTGTGTGTGTGCGTGTGTGTGTGTGTGTGTGTGTGTGTGTGTATGGGATTTGATACTTTTTATACTCATATATATATTCTTCAATAAACTCCCAAAGTCAAGACTGCCAAGAAAGCACAATAAAGTTTCTCTACAGTTATTAAAAGAATAAAAGCACGGGCTGGCTGGCTGTACCAAGGTGGGGTGGAATTTTGAGGGAGTAGTACAGCAGAAATAACTGAAGCTTAGGAATCTGTTCGCCAACCACCAAAAAACAGCCAAGCACCTGCTCAGTATTGTACCCAAATTTGACTACAGCCACATATAACTCTCTCCTCAATAGACAGAATATGGGTCGCCTGGGGGGAAAGAGAATCCTAGAAGAGCAACACACGGCGCTCATCCTGCGTGCAGTGCTGATCTGAATGAGCACTGCGCTGGCAATCCCATCACCTTCTCTTCTCAGACCCAAGTATAAAAAGTCCCCTCTAAGAGCCACTCCTTCCCATTTTACATTTCTAGATAATGACCCAATATCCAAAATTATTCTTTCCAGGATACAAATCCTGACATGGCTGTCATACTTAAAAATAAATGCTGAACAAGCACACATGATAATCCAAGTCACCAACCCAAAACTGGGGAGTTGCCTTCAGGTCATTCTCCAGACAGATGTAGCCAGACGTTAATCACAAGATGAGAAAAGTCAACCAAATGACCGTCCCTATCCCTACCAAAACTTTACAAATGTTCTGCCACTAATGTTTAAGTCAACTTTCTTTATGCCTGGCCCTTAGTCTCTATTCTTAGCAGTTGGGTAAGGATAGGGGAAGGGCCGTCCTTAGCAGCTGGGTAAGGACACAGAGAAGTCTACAAACTGTCACCTAACTCTGTGGTGGAGCACCAACTGTAAACTTCCCAGCCATCTTTGATCTGAACCACTCCCCTGAAGCTCAAATTTAGTGTGATACGTCTTAAAGGCATTGATATGATGGTTTTTTGGGCACATTACTGGCCAGCTTGGGTTAAGCTGGGTTGAGTCTGGGTTCTACTAATGGAACAGATACATTCACCAAAACAGAAGTCTTAAAGAACTCTTATTTGCAAAGTCCTCAAGTGAAACCACAGGACAGGCAAACTTTGAACGGAGAGTTTCCTGAGTCACAGAAAGGATACATGGTCCTTTCGAGTTCAGCTGCAGAAAAGAGAAGGTGGGAGGGTTGTCTGAAAGGACAGCTGCGGAGCAGGTGAACCAAAACAAGAAAAGATAGGCAAGTCTCTCTAGGCAAAATGGATAGCCCAGGGTGATCATTATTACAACCGGAGAGCTGTTACATAACTACTTGTTAACTCCTGACACACACCTACATAGCTATGCTAACCACTGAAGCTACTGTACGTGCTGCAACTGCCAAGGTTTCTCCAATCAATTTCATTCAAAGGAATAAGTAATCCTGGAAGCTATTCCTTCCAAAGGTAACTTGCCTGCTTTTACACATACAAAACAGCCTCCGGGAAAGCCAACTGCCTCTCTAGAGACAAAATTCAGTGTTTCTCCTTAATATTGTTTTCTTAAGGTTCTTTTTTTTTAAGAGAGAGAGATACAGAGTTACATTCACAGAGCCAAATATATGATCACCTAGCTAAAAAACGACGTCCACTCCGAACTGGAGGATGTGAACAGGATCCCTCCCCCATCCCTGCCTGTACCGCTGGCACAAATCCCAAGACCTCAGTGTCCGATGTACTGCATTCCAACATTTGTCAAAAAGTTTACGAGGATTTATCGAAGCGACCGAGAAAAATAAATAAATAAATAAAACTGACAGAAACGGAGGAAAGCGTGCAGGAGGATGCAAGCAAGGAAGAAGCGGTAAAGCGCCCGGAGGCGCAGTGCAAGGCCCGACAACCGGGAAGCGACCTAGCCCCCGCAGAGCGACCGCCCAGCGGAGCGCGGGGGGCTGGCAGGCTCCAGGTCTCGGTGGCCCAGGGTCTCTGATACCCCAGCCCGGGCCCCGCCTCCGATCCCCTCCCCAACCCTTCCCCCGCAGCGCCGTGGACGCCTGCCGGGGCCACCTTGGCCCCGGGTCAGCGCTGCGGAGCGCGGTACAACCGCGGAGGCCGCCGGCGCCCTTACCTCCTTCTGCTTGGGGTCCTGCGGGTAGACATCGGGCGGCCCGAGCCGCGGGCGCTTCAGCGGTCTCTGTTCATAACTGAGAAGCCCGAAGGCGGCCATGATCTCTCATGTTAACCGGCGAAATGAATGAGAGTTGGAGCTGGAGCTGGAGCAGCCGCCTCTGAGCACCAGGGAGCAGCACTTTGCAGACAGACTCGCTCGCCCCTCCACTCTCGCTCGCCGTGGCGCTGCAGGCAGGAGAAAGCAGGTTGGAGACCGCCGCTGCCGGCGCGCAGACGCGCTCAGGGGGGCCGTCTCCGTGGGCACCCCACTGCGCCGAGCCCCAGGACGCCAGCTCCACGGGCGGCGGCGGGGCTGGAGGTCGGCCAGGGTCCGCCGCGGCGCCGGCCTCCCGCCACCCCCACCCGGTCCCCAAGGGGGGGGGGGCGGGGAGGAGCAGCTGATGGGAACGTGTGACTTTCTTCACCAATGAACCCAAACCCACCCCGGGGACACGGGCTGGGGGAGGGGAGGGGCGCGAAGGGGGGAAAAAACTTTTTCTTGGCGCCTAGGAGGGAGGCTCGGTGTCGCCGGGAGCTCGGCGTCCTCGGGCCCGCGAGGCGCTACGCAGCGGCCCGCGCCCACTTCCTGGCTCGCCGTACCCCGCGCCCGCCACCTTGCACCCGGAGGACCTGGTGCCCGGGCACGGAGCCGAGGGAGCGAGGCCGCGAGGAGCGAGGATGCGGACGCCGCCGAGCGAGGCCGATGTCCCCCCCCTCCCCTCCACGCTCAGCTGGCGCAGAGGCTAAGCGGGTCCCCTCAGCGGCGCCCGGGCGCTTTGCGAGCTGCAGGCTGCAGGCGGCCGCGGCGGCTGGAGGGGGCCGCGCTCAGTGTGGCGCGGGGCCGACTTAACCCTTTCCTGGGCCTCCCGGGGCTGGGGAGGGGGGTGAGGAGCGATGGCCGCGAGCACCGACGGACACATCGGGCGCGCAGGCGACTAGGCACCCCGGGTCACCCCCTGGCCGCCGCGCGCCCCGCTCCCCACCCCCAACAGTTTACCTGTTGGTCCCCTCAGCTAGCCGCTAGGCAGGGGCGGGCGGCCGGGACGCTCTGGCGGTGGCCTCAGCCTCCATCGCTCAGGTAGGGGAAGGGAATTGGATTTGACGTTGCGAGGTGTGTGTCTCGCCAGACCGCGGACGCCGCCGCGAAGTTTGCGGCTGCCTGGGGGCGTCGCTCGCCGCCGCCACCGCCGGCGTTCTCGCCCCCACGGCCCGGGAGCGCGAGCTCCCGAGTTGGCGGACGGCGGCGCGGCGGCCGCACTGAGCATGCCCAGCTTGGCGACCGGACCGCGGAGGAGTTGACTGCGAGCGCCTCGAGCGCTCCCATCCGCCTCTCCGGGTTTTCGCAGCCGCAGAGCGCGCAGTCCGCGGGCCCCGCGCCCCAGCCGGCAGTAGGGTTAACCCGGCTATGGAACCAGCACCAGGAGGGACCCCCTATGGCCCTCAGGCTGCGCCCTCTGCCTCGACCCCTCCTGCGGTCGCAATTCCAGCAGCCTGGGCGAAACCTCACCTGCTGGCGGCACAGGGATGGGTGCCGAGGGGAGGGGGCGATCCTTTCCGGGGAACGTTCAACCCACCTGCCTGCGCCCCTTGGTTGCTCCAGGTGGATACCCAGATGCTGGGCCACTAGCCTTGAGCATCTAGACCTAGCCTAGGAGGCGGGCCCAGTCTGTCCTGAGGGACCCTGCAGGAGGCGCGCCCAGGAGGACGCGCCAGCACTTGGCCAAGAATGATGGCTGCCATTTATGGAGTCTTCCTTTGGTGCTATGATCTTGAGTGTCCGAATTTGCTTCTGACAACAAACCCTCCAAGGTTTTATTTGCACTCTCGTTGTAAATCAGGAAATTGTATCAGCTCCGAGAGGTTAGGTGACTTGTTCAAAGCTGCGAAAGCTAGTCGGAATTTGAACCTGCCACTACCAGAGCTCAGGTTTCTGACCTACCTCCCCTGTTTTGATTTGGAAGGGCTGGTCCTCGATCTGCCCTTGGCCTGATTGTGTCACATCCCCCATACCTTGAAGAATGTCTTGGATTCCTGTTCCCAGCTCTGGAAAGGATATGCAAGAAATAACCTGCAGCCTTTGTATAGCACCTGGTGCATGCTGGCGACATTCTAATGTCTACTCACTTTTCTGGATTTAAAGCATCCTAGAGAAAGAAGAGGAAAGTGGATAACGTGATGGCAATATAGTAGACTAGTTCTTCACTGCCCACTCCGAACTTCACAACTACCTTCTTTCTACCCAGCCTGAAACCTAAGTGGGGCTGTATGTGGCTGAATTCACTGCTCAGTCTGAGCTAGGCCTTCTATGGAATACTTCCCTTCCACCAAGAGATGTTTCCTGCCCACTTCTTACCTTGCCGTGAACATATCTCTTCTAATATCCTATGCATAATAACATCATGGTGTAGCTTCCCTTGCGTTATAAGCATCTATCAAATCCAGCTCCTTTGCTTGGAAGAAAAGATAGTTTTTATTCATATCTAACTTTATCAAAAAAATTATCGAGCATGTCAAAACTTGAAGAAAGACTATAATAAATGAGCGAGTATTCATCAGCTGTGACAATGTTTCACCGTTTTGATTTCACCTGTTTTCCCCATTCCCAATGGACTGGTGTACACACCGATGTAGCCATGATAATTCTTTGATTTTTGTTAAGAGGCACACGACATTGCACTTGACACATCTCCAAAAACTGTGGCTCTGTGGGGATGGATGGCGGGTGGTTGAGCGTGTAAATGTGTGGGCTTAGGACTTCATCACAAGTAGTATTTCACAAGCGCTGTACACCATGCAACTCAGTCTGATGTTACCATGAGAGACACGGCCAAGATTTTTCCTCATGAGATAACTGTCACAATCAGTGTCCTATTGCTGTGAAGAGATGCCAGGACCACAGCAACTCTTAAACAAGAAATCGTTGAATTGGGGCTTGCTTACCCATTCAGACATTTAATCTGTTGGTGTCATGGCAGGAAACCTGGTGGCACAAAGCAGACGTGGTGCTGGAGAGGTAGCTGAGAATACTACACCCTGAGCAGTAGACAGAAGGAAGAGACACTGGGCCTGGCTTGAGAATTTGAAACCCCGAAATCCACCCCCAGTGACACACTTCCTCCAACAAGGCCCCCCAGTACGTCAACAAGGCCACATCTAATGAACGGCATTCAAAAATTTGAGATCATGGAGGCCATTCATAGTCAAGCCAACACAATAGCCAAGGCAGAATAACTCCAAACTAATCATGTTTGCTTGTTTTGGAGGATTTTGGGTGGTTTTATAATTTTTTTAAAAAAAATTATGGTAATGGTAGTGGCTTGATTGGAATGGATTTTGTTTTTGTTTTCGGTTTTTATTTTGGTTTGATTTCAAGACACAGACCTTTCTTCTTTTCAAACATGAAATTCCCAAGCCTTCCTCTTCAGACATATACCTGCTACCAGTTCTTAAGAGCCGAGGCTTACATGAAGCCTACTCTAAACTACGGCTCGCCGTAATCCTTTGCCATTTCCAGTGCCCATAGCACTTATATTTTATTCTTTTTTTCAATACCTCATTGCTTATTGATATCTGTTCAAATATATGACCCAAGATTGTCTTATTCTCCTCTCCTTTCCTCACTCTCTTGTCCTTCCACTGCAGAGATAGTCTTGAAGCTACAATGCAGACTTAACCTGCTGATCTTAACCTGGAAGCCATTTTGTTATCTGCCGTGCTTTAAATTTCCACATGGTGCTTGCTAAAGTAGCAGATAAGTACAAATTCTTATTGAGATTCTCAATGGGTAGAGCAGGCTGGCCTTGAATTCACAGATCTCTGCTGCCTGCCTCTACCTCCCAAGTGTTGGGATGAGAGCTGTATACCATCACACCTGGCTTGATACTGTTCTTAAAGTGTATCTCATAGTTACCTAGCTAATGGATTCCTCTAAGACTGGCCCATCCTCCGAAGGTTCTCGGCCTGTCAGAAAAGATGAGGTGAGGGACTGTGGATATTTTAAATGGCTGTAGAGGAAAAGTGATGGAACATGGCTAGGGGAAGATGAACTACAAAACAAAACTACAAAAAAAAATTAGGGAGTTGTGTCCCCCAAGCTAGCTCTGCAGTACACCTTCAGAGACTTGATAGATATTGAAAAAGTGGTCATTTTCTTGTGTCACATCCAAAGGCTCCTCAAACAACCTTCAGCACCAAGAAGGCCCCCTAACTGCTTATAGCTGCTTCTACTTCCCTCTGTAAACTTTTGGCTACTCGTCTTCAGCAAACCGTACCTCACTGTTGGCATAAAGTTTGCTCTCTTGGGCAAAGTTCCTTCAGCATATCCCAAAGCTGGTTTTCTAGTTCTCCATTTGGTCAGCAGGTAATGTGCAGATCTCCTTTGCCTGCGTATACTCCATGCAGACATCAAGCCGCAGCTTACCTTAAAAGTTCTCCAGGTTCGTACAAGCTACAAGGGGCAAATGGCAAAGGTCGTCTGCAGTCCTCTCCAAGTTCTTCTCGTGAACATGTAGGATAACAACGTTTTCAGAGCATAGCTCAACAATGAGATGGCTAGTTACAGAGCAGATCCCTCATGAGCCGTGTCCTACCCTTCCTGCTCCACAGCACTGGTCCCAAGCGATCAAAGGGGGACAAGCCATAAGTAAAGTTAGACCTGACCCCGCACACACCTGTGCTTGTTATCATTGTCAGTGCACCACCTGCATGAATTAGTCGTCACACCGCACACGTAAAAGTGGGCATCAGAAGACAGTTGTGGCGTAAGAGAAGAAGCTCCTCGCAGTTTGCTGTGCCACCGCAGCATGCCTTCGCCCAAGCGGAAAGAAACAGTTCTCAGTGCTGTGGTGCCTGGAGGTGCAGTAATTAAAGTTGCTGGGTTTTCTCGCGGGATTGATGCTTGTCCAGGTGTGTGTATCCTTGTGTTTTGTTCCCAGTTTATCTGCAGGCAATCTTGCCTTTACTTTCAGTTTTTCTTATATCCCCATTATGTTTAAATGTGTTTGTGTTGTGCCTGCATCTGATTAAAAAAATACAATTCCACGCTTTCCTTGAGTCAAAAGAATCAAACAATGGACAGAAAGACAACTGGAGGGGCTGGCGAGATGGCTCAATGATTAAGAGTGTGCGCTGTCCCCCTCCTATTTGTATCCCCACCTTCCACAGTCCATTTGCAAAATTTGTTCTATTTCCCCTTCCCAGGGAGATACATGTGTCCCTGACACACACTTTGAAGCCTCCTTGTTACTTAGCCTCTCTGAGTCTATTGTAGCATGATTATCCGTTACTGTACAGCCGATATCCACTTACAAATGAGTATGTGCCATGTTTATCTTTCTAGGTCTGGACCACCTCACTTAGGATGTTTTTTTCTACTTCCATCTATTTGCTTTCAAATGTCATGATGCCATTTTTTAACAGCTGAGTGATACTCCATTGTATAAATTGCTACATTTTCTTTGTCCATTCTTGTGTTGAGGGACATCTAGGTGGTTTTCTGTTCCTGGCTATTACGAATAAAACTGCTATGAATATAACTGAGCAAGTGTCCTAGTGATAGGATGGAGTCCTTTGGGTATATACCCAAGAGAGGTATAGCTGGGTCTTGAGGTAGACTGACTCCCAATTTTCTGTGAAACTGACATAGTGATTTCCATAGTGACTGCAAAAGTTTTCACGCCCACCAGCAATGGAGGAGTGTTCCCCTTGCTCCACATCCTTGCCATCATAAGCTGTCACTTGTGTTTTTGATCTTAGCTGTTCAGACAGGTGTAAGATGGAAGGAATCTTAAAGCAGCTTTGATTTGCATTTCCCTGGCGACTGAGGATGTTGAACATTTCTTTAAGTGTTTCTCAGCCATTGAGTTTCCTCTGTTGAGAATTCTCTGTTTAGATCAGTACCCCATTTTTTCAATTGGACTATTTGGTTCATTGATGTCCAGTTTCTTGAGTTCTATATTTTGGATATTAGCCTTCTTTCAGATGGTGAAAATCTTTTCCCATTCTGTAGGCTGACTTTTTTTCCTGTTGATGGTTGTTGTCCTTTGCTTTTAAAGCAGAAGTTTTTCAGTTTCTTGAGGTCCTATTTATTAATTCTTGGTCTTAGTGCCTGTGCTATCCATGCTCTGTTCAGGAAGTCGTCTCCTGTGCCACTGCATTCAAAACTATCCCCCACTTCTCTTCTATCAGGTTCAGTGCGTCTGGTTTTATGTCGAGATCTTGATCCACTTGAAGTGAGTTTTATGCAC